GGTTTTTACATATAACTTCACATTATTTTGCTAAGTACTAATCTGGATTCTATTTTGTTGTCGGAACTGTGTTTTAGTACGGTTCTTGAAATACTTAGCTTGATTATGGTTTTTAGGTTATGTAGTCTGTTATTGGAACTTGACATTTAAAAGTGAGACAATGTGTTTATCTATTGTGGTTTCAGATGAATCCATGAATTGTTTTAAGTAGTGTTTCTACCTAGTTTATACATTGAAAAAGAGCATTGATGACACAGTGGGTCAGGCATTTGTCTACCAACCACAGGTTGGTGGCTCAAATCCTCTAGCCTCTCTGCAGATGAAAGTTGAGGCTTTTTGCTGTCTTAAGGATTTACAATCCCAAGAAGCATCCTTAGACTGAACTTCTATTTTGCCCTGTAGGTTTGTTATGAATGAGAATCCACTTAATGGCAAATGTGTTGGCTGGTTATAAATAGAAAAGACTTTTATCATGATGATTATTTTAAAAGTTATTTTTGACCTTTCTCCCACTCATTATCACTTAGATGAACTCTTTCCAAATATTTGCATCAGGATCTTTTTTTTTTTTTATTGTTTACACAGTCAGACCTTTTTGAAATGGCTAAGCTATATGATGACTTTAAAATTCTAATATTAAATTATAAACAGTGTTACAAATAGACATGACATTACACCAATGCCATTTAATGATTCATTGATTTGTCATAGATTACTTTCATTCCATATTAATTAATTCTACAAATATTTATGGAATATCTGTTTGGAATCAGGGCCCATCCAAAACTGTGACCTTATGTTGATGAATAACTCTAGGACAGGTGCCTCAGAAGACAGGCCTGGTGATCTATTACTAAAAAAAAATCAGCCGCTGAAAATCCTATACAGTGCAATTATCCTCTGACACACATGGTTTTGTATGAATCAGAATCAACTCTACAGCAATTAGCTCTCTGTTTTTAAGGAGCTGGGTATAAAAGGAAAGGACGTTAAGGACATTGTGTAATGAGGTAAGGAAATTGAATAGTATCTTTTTTAAAAATCGTTTTATTAGGGGCTCATCCAACTCTCATCACAATCCATACATACATCAATTGTGTAAAGC